TATTATCAAACAAAATTTCATTTAAATATTTTAAAATTTAAAAAATATAGATCATAAATATATTTTTGTTAATTTTCTAGACAAATTTGCCTAAAAATAATCTACAGTTTAAGGAATAAGATATTTTTCACATAGAGTAACAATTTCTGAAAATAATGTCTTACTTATTGATTGTACTTCTCTAGTATTATGATTAAAAATTAATATTTTTTTGAATGTATTGTACTTGCTTTTCTTATTAAGATGTTTTTGAATTGTTTTATATAAATTGATAAATGAGAATAACTGATTAACACTTAACTTAATAAGATTATTGTGACTTTTTACATGTTGAGTACTCTGAATACTAGCATTAAAAACTTGTGTAATAAAGCAACAGGCTCAACTTTGCTTTAATTAGTAAATTTTTTTTAAATATAATTCTATTTTCAAATAAGTATTAATTAGTTTATTAAAATAATTTTTTAAAAAAACTTTCTGTAAAGCATTTCAGGCAGTATAGAAATTATTTATAAATTAATTATATTGATGCTCTTCAAGTTTTGACTAAGCTTTTTTTTTATATTATTATTATATAAAATACACAAAGATAATATAGTGTAGCTAAAAAGATGTTTGAAATTGTAGCACTATTGCTGAATTAGAATCTGTAAAAATAATACTGAGTTTATATTCTGAATTTTCATTTTGAAAGCAGGTAAAAACTCAAATAAAAGAATCTATAAATTCATTAGATAGTAATGCTTGGGCTACTAATCTGCTTTAAGTAAAATTATTAACTATAATTATTAAAGCCAATGGTCATTAATATTAATTTATTTTATATGTAATGTCTAGCAAGCAAATATTGCCAAACCTTGATAACAACTGTACTTGTTCATCAGATTGCCAAAAAAGGCCCATAAGTTCATTATTAATATTTATAATAAAAGGTTCAACTATATAGTTAAGATCTGATTTTTTTTGTTACAAAAGATAATGCAACAAATTAGAAGCATTGTTTTTAAGTCTTTGATATATGCCTTTGAGTTTACTTATTATATTATATATAGTTCATAGTTTAATATAATAATTAGAATATTTATTTTCAAGTAAATAAATTATTTTAATAGGTTGAACATTGTATTAGTGATATAATTCCACCTTATTGATCATTTTTTTAGTTAATTGTTGGTATCTTGATGCATTGTTTTTGATATCAAAGTTTATAGAATAATTATAAACTGAATTATTATTAATTAAAGAGCATCAAATAGTTGATGCTGTACTACTAATTGAGAAGTTACAATGCTATTTGCAATTTGTCACAGTTATACTATGATTATATTAGTCATCAAAATTAAATTTTTTTTTAAATTTCTATTAACCAGACTGATAACACATCTAAGTTGCATTTCAAACTAATCTATTCCCATATATTTAGATATGCTCTTTTCTAATTGCAAATTTATATTCTATAGCAAATCTATTAAGTTTTTTTTTGATTTCTTCAAAAGTATTAAATGAATCATTTATTTGTATATTAAATGAATATTTATATTGACCACTAGCATTATAGTTGTTAATTTTATTTTTATTACTAAAATCTGAATGATTTATATCTTGTTCATCATACAAGTATATTTTATAAAAATTTCTGAGAATAGTAAAAGAAAACCTTTATTTAATATATTTAACTCCAAGAAGTAGTTATCTGAATATTGATTTTAAAAAAAATTTATAACCCTTTAATAACATTTAATTTTATTTTCTAAAACTATTATTAACTAAAATTTTCTACTAATCTAAAGATCTAAATTAATTTATTTGAAAGAATTAAGAGTATCATAAAAAGACTAACAGGTCTTAAAAGACAATAAATTAGTATAACATTTAGTACTATTTTACTACACTAGCTTTAATAAATTAACTTACCAAAGATGTGTTTAAATCAGTGCTTTTCGAAGAACCAAACTTAACAGAACATTTATTAAGGGACTAACAAGTCTTAAAATATTAAATTAGTTTGGTATTATATAATCTTTCATGTTAAACTAAATTTAGATAATACTACTAATTTGTAATAGATTTAAATTAATATTGTTAGAAAAATCATTTATAACATTATAATCATTTAGAGATAAATAGGTCTTACAGTAAATGTTAAATTAGTATAATGCTTAATCTATCTCTAACAATTTTAATAAACTAATCTAGAGTAAATTTAAATTAATATTCTTTAAAAAGCTTATTGTAGTACAATATTCATTAGAGAACTAACAGATTTTTTAAGGCATAAGTTAGTTTTATAGTAAATATTAAATTAGTATAGCATTCAACCTATTTTTTACTAACTAATTCAATTAACTTTTCAATTAACCTAGAGCAAATTTAAATTAATATCTTTTGTAGAGCCAATTGCAGTATAGTATTCATTGAAGGACCAACAGGTCTTTTAAAGTACAAATTAGTTTAACATTTATCAATCTGAAATTAATTAACTTATTTCTTACTAACCAATTTAATTAACTTTTTAATTACTGATAATCTGAAGTAAATTTAAATTAATGTCTTCTATAGGACCAATTGTAATATAGTATTTATTAGAGAACTGACAGGTCATTTAAAGTGCAAATTAGTTTAACATCTATCAATTTGAAAGTAATTAACTAATATTTTACTAACCTAAAATGGGTTTTGAGTTATTGCTTTTAGAAAAACCAAAAAAAATTAAATATAATTAAAAAATATTAAAAAGCCCAATAGGCTTTAAAATTTATAAAAAAAAACAATAAAACAATCTTGTAATCATTCATCTATTTAAAAAAATGCTATAATCAATTAAAGTAAATTTATATTATATATATATAGTATAGAATCACAAATATGTCAAGTATACTATGTTATACATAATATATAATGGTATATATGGAATGTATAACTAATAAATATACTCTATACAGGTTGTATATTTATTGTTATTATATAATTATTTAATGTACAATATATTTATTAAAAATTGAAAACTTATTTATCATTATATATATACATAATAAATTTTATGCAAAAATCAAAAACTTATTTATTATTACTAATAAAATTTATGCAAAATTATATAATACATAATATGTAATTATTATTATTATTAGCATAATTATACAAGTGAATATTTTAGTATCTGTTTTTATCATTATCATAATACAATAAAACAAAAACTTTTCCAATTTCAAATGGCCTCTTTTATTAATATTAATTCAGATACTAATGATATCTTTGAAGAAATTGATTTTAATGAAATAAATGAACAAGTAAAATTTTAAATATGTTTTTGTTTAAATTAAAAAATTAGATATAAATATATTAAATAATGATAAATTATTTAGAGTGACAATGATAATATTGAAGAAATCACTTATTTCACCAAAAATTTAACTGCACAGCATATTCAATTTTCAGCTATTTCTGTTGAATATTCATCTACTAATTCTGAAGGTTATGCAGTTATATATAACTTTATTGATAATGAAAATTATTCTGAAAAGCAAAGTAGTGATATTTAAATTTAAAAATTAATGAGAGACAAAGCTCAAGTTGTATTTTATAATATATATAAATTGTATTTTTAATATAAATATAATAAATTTTATTATAATTAATAATTTTATTATAATTTTTATTTAATTATTATTAGATCTAATACTTACAAAGTAGTAAAGACAGAAGTTCTAATGTTAATTGTCTATTTTTTTTTGATGAATCTAATAATAAAAAAATACAAGTTATTAAAGATCAATAAAAATGTAGAAGGATTAAAGTTTGCCCTTTTATATATAATTATATAATTAATTACAAGCATACTAGTATTGATTTCGATTTAAATATTTTTCAAACTATTAAAAATGCTGATGAATCTTGAAGTATTCAAGCTAATACTTTGTCATAATATTTAATATTTATTTAAATTTTACTATTAATTATATTTTAAAGCTTAAATAAAAATTAACTATTTTATATTAGGTTTTATCTAGCAGCTAAAAAAATACCTTGTCCATATAATTAAGCTAATAATATTTGATGCACTGGTAATTTAGTTATTAAAAAAAGATAATCACAAGCTCTTAATTCAAATGAATTACAATCAAATATTAATCTAAATAATAGATACTTTCTTGGTTGTACATCTTGGAAGTATGGTACTACTGAACATTAATATATACCACTTACTAAACTATTGATCATCATTTATTAAAAAATTTAATTAATGGAATGGTAATTTAAATAACATATAATTAATATTAATTTTAAGTATTATATTTTTATTATAAATTTTTTTTATAATCTTAGCAATTAAATCAATCTGAAATAAATAATAATTGTAATACTGTTTTATTAAATAGTTCTAAATGATTAATATGCTATAAGTAATAAATTAAATAATTTTTTAATAATTATATTAAAATAATAAAAATTAATATTATTATCAATTTTTATAAATATATTATTTAGCATTTTCACATATAGATGATAATGAAAATTTAGTAGAAGCTAATTTAATTCATTTATCATGTGATGTTACATTTTATCAGCTTATTTCAGTAAATTTAATTAAATGTCCATATGTTGCTCTTGTAAGTGTTAGTAAACATACCTATTCGCCTCCACCACCTAGTCATATTCCAGAAGCTATTAAAAATTATATTAATAAAATAATTAATAATGCTTATGAATATTTGGATCATATTACTTCACAAAAAATTATTTCAAGTAATAAAATTTATTTTTTTGTTTTTTATAAACTTTATAAATTAATAAATTTTATATAATTTAAATAATCTTGTATATGCATATTTTGGAGTTAATATATTATCTGAAATATATACATCACTTAACAATTTAGATCAGCTTCGATATTTAGTTGGTTATATACAACAAGCCAAAAATCCATATAGACAAAGCATTCTTGGAATAGTACATAATTTCTGAAAAAATAAAAATAAAATTCATAATTATATTCAACAATTAAGTATGATATTATATTAAATTAATTATTATTTTATATTAAAATTATATTAATAATATTTATTATATAATTAAAGACTTTTTTGATAATAGTCATATAATGATTCTTTGTATGACCAAAGAACAAGCTATTAAACTTTATAAAGCAAAATATTTTCAAATAGATTTGACTTATAAATCTGTACAAGGTGAAATAAATGTATTTGAGCTTAATAAATATAATGAAAATTATCAAATAAGTATATATATTATTTTATATTTTTAATTTTAAACTTCATTAAATAATTACTAATAAATTATTTTATTATAGTATTAACATATGCTAGAATTTTTATAAATATTTCTGATGCAAATGATATAAGCAAATGTTTATAATTATAATTGAAGCAATTAAAAACTTAACAAATATGTCTGTAAAGATTAAACATATATATAATAATGACTAGAGTTGTATTTTAGGTAACTTGGATCTTGCACAAGCAAAAGAGCTTGGGTTAGCTTTATCAAATATTGATCTAAGTTTAAGTTGGACTAAACATCTTGTTTATATTTTTAAAACTTGTTGCTTATATTATTAAAGATAAATATAATTTATTTGTAAACAATTTAACCAATTTTTAATTTAATAATTAATACTTTATTTTAGAAATCTTTTAAATCATAAATTTTCAAAACAAGTTACAAAATTAATACAAAATATCTTAATTGCTAAAAGTTATAAGAAAGTTCAACTAATTATAAATAAGATAATATTATTTAATGAAAAAGAAATTAATAGTAAAAATATTTTTAATTATTATTTAAAATCAAATCTTTATAAATATTATAATATTACAATAATTGATTTTTTTTTTTTTTCAGTATTAAGGTGACCTTTTTGGTCTAAGCTTTTATTAATACTTATAGCGGATACATATTTTATATAGATATATCTATAATGAACTATTAAATGAGTGTACAACTGGCTATATATATAACTTTTCTATATTACCTATTTAAGGAGTTCACTCGAGAGTTCCCTATCAGTTGCCATACCTAATACTCTTGCTTAGATGTTTTATTTAAACACTCTAATTTAACCCTAGTATTAATTTCATCAGATCACAAACCCAGATTTATTCGCATTTGACCATAGGACTATAATTCTTAGACTATTTTTATCCTTAAGGTAAACCTACTAGAGTGAGCTATATTTCCTTTTATTGCTAACCTGGTTTGACACTATAACTGGGGCCAACACTTGTAGTCAGGGTTACTTCTTAAACTGCCATTACTCTTGTAAAGTTTATCCAAACTCTGGTACCTATCTTTTCGACTTTTTCTTTATCATCTTCTACTAGCCACAACTCAGAACTAACCAACTCTCTAGACTTCCAATCCAAATAGCCTGGTATAGTATACTTATGTATAGTGTTTCGATTTGCAATCTGATAATTCGGATAAATCTGATAAATTCGGATTGAATGCAGATATCTGTATCTGTCAATTTTGACCAGATAGATTCTTAATGAATTTCAGATTAAAGATAAAGATTATCTGGATAATAATCCTAGATAAATATGCTTGCATTATTGGTAGGTAGTATTTCATACAATTATGTCAACTATAATTTGTCTTTTAAGAGAGGTGTCATTAATCATCTAATTTTTTTTACTTAGTAGCCTACCCCCCCTCCCCCCTACCTGATTCTAAAAATTAACTAATTAAATTATAGAAAAATTAATACTCTAAGACTTGTTTATAATTGTAAAATATTAATGGCTACTTATAGCAAAACA